GAAATGTATGTACTTCATGTCAGGAATAACCTTTCATTTTGGAAAGAAATTATGGGGTATTTTGCTGCCTCCACACTGGGAATATGCACTTTAGAGTGTATTCTTTAATACTTACAGGCTAATGTATTTTCTTAAATCAAAACATGGAAGTTACAGTGATTCATGACTGTTCATATCAGCACTTTTAATAACATAAAAGATGCTTTGTTTTTTTGCAAAGAATAACCAAAGGTTATTGCTTTAATACATAGTTTTTATTTTGACTTAAATATCACTACAAACAAATTTAAATAAATATGTTAAAATTAAAGGCCAAAAATCAAGACACCTAATCATCATAATAGTTCTGAAGACACCTCATATCTATAGGTCAGATATTTGATGGTTTGAATGAGCTAGTATCTTATTTTTGAAAAATCCTATTATGTTTCTGTTTAGTTAGTTCTGCTGGCCTAAATTGATGCATTACAGATTTTATTTAAACTTCTTTCAAATCTTAAGGTATTAAGAGTGATCTTATGTCTGAAAAAAAGAATGTGATATAGAGGAATGGAGTCAGGATGATTCAGAATATATATAACTCATTCCGTTGTTTTGTCATAATTGAGGTTTTTCTGAGTCCTGTAGTACATGATGTTATACCTTGAAATTCTAAAAATCTCCTACAAAGCCCTAAACCATTTTCAGTGAAACATAATTTTTGAGCTTATTTGATGCAATATAGTAAATTCTCTGCCTTTACTGATCTACAGAAACTGTTTTCAGCTGTTGATTCACTTAGAAAAGGTTGGTATTCAGACTGTCTTCAGAAGAGAGATTGCAATGTATGCTTTACCTTGAGGGCAAGAACAGTGAACTTATTTGTTAAACAAAGAGATGCACTAATTTGAGGGAATGAGATAAGTAGTAAATTCAAATATTTGCTGAGTATTTTGTAATTAGTTGACAGGACAGAGCCTCAATAAACTAAACAGAGTCTACTTCAATAATCAAACATATAGGCTGATATTACTAGGACAGGAATTTATTGACAATAACATTAAAGAAAATACAGCAAAAATGTAATGTATTTCACAATAAACCTCTGGAAAATACTTTGCTTGTACTTTTTAAGCAATCAGAGAAAGCCTGACTGTCAGAGAAATCCTAGAAATATAATGGAAAGTGTATTTGTTTTGGAAAAATGCACTCTGTATTGTCCTCCTTGACTTCCAGGATTAGGCTTGAATGCCATTAATTCAGGATGATGGAAGCAGAAGAATGAATTCCACAGTTCTCTTACACATTACCTGTGCTCCACGCTGGTGCACCAATCTGTTTACAGGAAGAGAAGCACAGGCTTATGTTTGAAACATCAATAGCTGATTAAATGTAAATATAAGTATTTAGGGTCACTGAGGAAAAGAGAATCTCAGATTTTTCTACATGTAAATCATAAGCAGAAAAAAAAAAGCCTTCTTTATTGTTAATGTTTTAATCTGTAGTCTTTTTCTTTCTCTGGCATAAAAAATAAAGCCAGAAGATTTTTCTTTCTCTTGCTTTCTTCTCACAAATCATGAGAGGAATTCTGGCTTATTAAAAAATTTCCATTAAGCAATGGGTTCCTATCACGTGAGTGAGTTGTGACAGCTTTTATTGTTGACCCAAATGCCCTACACAGGTCACAAATAACAGTCTCTTTAGGAGCACCTCCTGCCTATGAATTCTCACAGGCTTGTTACTCACTGTGGTTTCTTTTGGGCCTCACCGACAACCACACACTGCCATCTGGTGTGCTCAAAGAGCAATAAACTGTTCCTAAAATCTCTTAAATCATCTCAAAAACCCCCTCAAGATAAAGACTTGACCATCACAGAGCATTGCTTCCCAAGCCTACCTGGAAAAGAACCACTATATAATTTGCCTGTGTTTTCATTTCAAACAATCCTAACCTCAGGTGTAAAATAATGGGCTCTGAGCTAATCATTACTGCTCAGGATGGAATGATGATGGTAATGAAAATTCAGTATATTTTAAGAAAATAATTTCTGAAATGGAGGGGATAGAGGTAGTGAATAAATTACTCTCTCAGCAAAATGGATGATTTTTCTAGAATCTCAATAAGCTTATTAAGCAGTGTACTTATTTAAGGACAAGTATAAGTTGAGTAAGAAACACATTCGCTGGGGTGTTATTGTTAGGTTGGATGTGACATACACACACGTGATTAGGGTTTAAGAAGAAAAAAGTTTTTATTCTGCATGTTTTCTAGCTTATATACTTTTAACAAAGTGTGATTTTAAGTCATTAATTATATTATAATAACTTGTATTTATTGGTGCAAAGCAATTAGCGTTAATATAATTGGCAAAAGTTTTACAGAAATTTATTAAGGCATGTATACACATTTACTTATACACATAATTTAGTTCACAAAAATTTTCATGTATTTTTCATGTACTTTTTCTGATGTGTTTCTATGCTAACAGCCTTGTCTTTTTCTTTACTATAGATATATTCAAAAATCATCAATTGTTATTTCTTCTATTAACTCAGCTTTGCTTGCAAGCCAGCTGTCAAACCCCTCCATACTGGGGGAGCTGACAGAATACAGGCTTTGATCTCTTTATCACTTCACTGCACCATTGCAAATAATGGAAATGATCCTAAATCCTTTCCTTGTGTTTTTGGGATATTAACTAATGGGTGTGTCTTAGTATTAAATATATGTTGGATATTAATTGTCTCACACAACTGTCAACATCCATATACAAATTTGCTAAAATTGTATTTAAGGTTCCATAAGGACCTTGAAATGGTTTCTGACAAAGCAAGATCCAGTTCTTCCCCTGAACCATGAGCAGTGTCTGTCAAAATCCATGCTTTGAAAATACCTGAGAAAAGATGAAAGAATAAAGCACCTTCCAGACTCCAAGGCGGTTTCACCAAGGTACACACATGCATGTGAATATTTATTTTGTTAACGTAGATAAAATGCCTGGTTCATCCAGAGAGGCAGAAGGGCACAGAGGATGCTGGCTGCAGGGAGCAGGAGGCTGTTTTTGGGGCCAGGGATTGTTTTTTGGCGAGGAGGGTGCGGACAGCGGTCAGACACAGCCACCTACCGGCCTCCGGGCCCTTGGCCTCAGCAGCCAGCCCTGCTCACACCCACGAGTTCAGCTGTGCAGCATGAAAACGTGCCCCAACCCATTCCAGTGGAACCTTGACTTGCATCCATGGGCAATCAGGGATTCTCTTTATCAGGATTGGCATTTATTTTATTCTGGATGGGTTCAAGCACAGAAGGCAGGACTGCAGCAAGTTGGTAATAGTGTCCCAGCCAAGGCGAACCACACTTGAATTTCACCCCAGGGTTTGAGAGGGTTGCATGACTTGCAGAGGATTAGCCACGTCTCCTGCCATGCTGCAATATGTTGGCATGTGACTGCAATGCATTCTGTATCAAACACACGTGGAAGACACTTTAAAGTTTATTTACAGAAAGCATCTGTCTTTATACGGGTAGCCATGTATTCTGTACCAGATACTGCTCTTTCTGATTCTTGCTTCAAAGTTGACTTTAAGGAGCTACAACAAATATATATTTAGGACAAAGCTCTCTAGAGTTGAATATACATAAATTACCTGAAGGTGAATATGCATAAACCACCTGGTGGTTTTCCTCCCCTGCTGTGATTATTTGCATGTTTACTACTTTATAGGGACTCAAAACTTGCAAATTTTCAACATAATAATGAAATACTTTCATAGTGTAATAATAAAAATCTGTATAGGGAACCAATTTTTTTTTCTTTATGACCTCCTTGGTTCTGCCTCTTTAATAGATTAGGACAGGAATTGTTCATCACTCAGGCACTGAGAACATAAAATGGTGTTTTATAGCCCTTCTTTGCCATAGGAAAACATTGTATCTTGCTAAATAAGGAACCAAATTCTGAGATCAGAGCATGATTATTTCCTATCTTCTCGCAACTGTATTATTTCTAATCACAATTTGAAAATAGTCTAACTGGAATTGTCTTATAGACAATTTCCAGAAGTACTTATTTATTTTCAACATGGCTCTTGTTTACATCAGTAAACCCCCTCTCATCATCACCACGTACTTAGCATTGTCAGTGTTACACCAAACGTTTTATTTTTCATCACTCTTGCAAAGTATTATTGGTTATTGCAAAGGTTGTTGTATCATTTGCAAGATATAATTAAAATCCATTTGGAATAGAAGTGCACTTGTTAGGGAAGGCCAAGCTGTTGCTGTGCCAGAGCAGCCTCGTTGATGCCAGACACGGAGGATTGGCTCTGGAGCACCTGTACACGATCAGCTCTTTGTGCAGATACCCAGAGACAGCCTTCAGCTCAGACACCAGGAAATCGTTCCTCCTTATACACGAGGCAATTTCCTGGCTTGGTGACACTTTCCTCACGTCCACAGACTAGAAATTCAGTCCAGGACCTGAGAAATTCTTTATGTCAGAACAGAGACGTGCACTCCCACAGAGAAAGTCTTAATCTTTAATAAACACATTTTGTATTTAGGCGAGGAGGAAAAGGTTTCATAAGGACTCCATAACCGGACTATCTGACACACTTCTGGCGTTATCCCGAGCCTCATGACGGGGCTTCCCCTGCCGAGGCTTTCCCCGACACTCCGCCACACGATTCGGAGAGACACGGCTGCTCTCGCCGGGCCCGCAGCTCCTGGGGATGCGACAGCCCCGCCACCGACCCTGCCCAGCACGGGGCCGGGCATAGCCCGAGCCGGAGAGGCCTTGCTCGGACACGCCTGGGGCCGGACCCATCGCTGCCCTACAGCTGACTGGCGCAAGGAGTACATCCTGCAGCAGCCGTACACCTCCCAGCGCTCTCGCCCGCGCACCCGGGATTTATGAACTTTCTCCCGCCCCTTTTCCCAATCGCCTCCGCAGGCCCCAGCTCCTCCCCAGCCTGTGTCGGGCAGCCTCAGGCGGGGCGGTGCCCGTGCTCTCGCTGCCCGCACCATGAGCTGCGCCGCGCTGCTGGCGCTGCGGGGCCCGCGGCTCCTGGGGGCCGCCGCCCGCCCGCCCCGCTGGAGCCGCCGGCGCAGCGCGGGCTGCGAGCCCCCGGCGGGCGCCGCGGTGCGCATCGGCTGCGCCTCGGGCTTCTGGGGGGACACGGCGGTCGCAGGTGGGCGGTGGGGCGGCAGCGGCTGCTCGGGGGGCGGCCGGGAGACCCGGCGGGGCGGCGGGGACCGGGGTCAGCCCGGCGGGCGGCGGCCCCAGCGCCATGGAGAGCCCCCTTGCGCAAGCGGCCGGGCCGGGGCCGCCGCCGCACGCCTGGGCGGGGCCGGCACCGGGGCTAGGGGTGGGCACCGGGGGTGCCCCCAGCTGATGGTACCTTCTTGCCTGCCCCGGCAGTGCCGCAGCTGCTGTACGGAGGGAAGCTGGATTTCCTCGTGTTCGATTACCTCTCCGAGATCACCATGTCGCTGCTGACGGCCGCCAAGGCCCGCTCTCCCGTAAGTAGAGCCGGTGTCCAGCCCCAGCGTGCTGGGCTCGGCCGGGGCGGGCGCGCTCCGGTACTTTGCGACCTCCAAGCTCTCCTTCAGCACGAATCGTGCCCGAAACCTGTTTAAGACATACCTGGTCACGGGGACACGGTTTCTTGAGTATACTTTTTATTCGCATGTATTTATTTTCATCTGTTCAGTTTCATCTGGTGAAGGTGTTCGTGTCGTTTCCCATCGTTACCCAAATGATGGTATTATTTGGGAGGTAGTGGTTCTTCGCTGTTTTCTGTGTTAACCAAGGAGAGGGGTTGGGTTGACCTACCTGTAAGAAATGGTTACAGCTCTTAATTATTTCAGGTTTTAGGTTACACTCCGGATTTTGTCTCCACTGCCATGGCTCCCTATATAAACGATATTCACAGGAAAGGTATGCTACTCCTTGCACGAGTTTCTGCGTTAATTCAGTACACCTGCTTAGGAAAGCAGGCTGAGTTGGGGCTGTTCAGTCTCGAGAAGAGAAGGCTCTGGGAAGATCTTACAGCACCTTGCAGTAGCTAAAGGAGGCTTGCAAGAGAGTTGGACTTTTTACAAGGATATGTAGTGATAGAAGAAGGGGGAATAGCCATAAGCTGGGGTAGATTTAGATTGGATGCTAGGAAGAACCTCTTTACTTTGAGGATGGTGAGGCACTGGAGCAGGTTGGCTGGAGAAGTTGTGAGTGCCCCATCCCTGGAAGTGTTTAGGGCCAGGATGGATGGAGCCCTCAATAACATTGCCCATAACAGGGGACTTGGACCTAGGTGATCTCTAAGGTCCTTCTAATCCAAACTATTCTAGAATTCTATGAAAAATCCCATTGTAATTGATGTGGGGTACAGGTCTGATGGTGAAATTGGGTTGATTTATGGTATTTGTTGCAAATGCGAATACATACGTGTATTTCCATGTATTTCTTACTATAGCTTCGATCTGTGAATGGTAGATTGCTTTACAGATCTTTTTTAAAGTGTGAGAGCTAGATGTTTTCAAGGTATTTTAAGTTTTTCAAAATTCCCACATAGTTCCCAATATGATTACGTAGTTCTACAATATGATTTTCTACTGTGTTTTTTTGTTTCTGGTTTTTTTTTGTTTACATTAGTAAAGCTTCACAGTGTCTATTACTGTTCCTGTCAGAGGTGTTTGATGGTGTCTGCCTCATTATGTGTGTCTTTCTGGTCACTTGCTCCTTCCATTCATAAAGGATAGATGAGAAGTATCTATAGGAGTTATTTTTCTCTAAACAATTTTTCTACTGGCTTATTCTGATCCTTTGACAGATTAAATGTGGTTTTATTTTAATGTGGTTTTTGTATTTTGCTTGACTGAATGTCTGTTACCTTGCAAAGATGATACCTTGCTTATGCTCCAGCACACTTTTTAAAGTACAGGTGATTGATTATTGATGCTGCTGAACTTTATTTGCCTTTGTTTTTTTTCTGTTAGGTGTTCGTGTTGTCAGTAATGCTGGTGGAATTAATCCACTTGCTTGTGCAGCTGCCCTGCAGGAGGTGGCAAAGAAAGCAGATGTTGATTTGAAAATAGCTGTTGTTGCTGGAGATGATCTGATGAGTGAGGTATTTCACTGTGTTTTACTCCTTAGTAGCTCAAGTCTGTATAGCATGAAGATGGCATTTACTGTCCCATAGGAACCCTGTGTGTCTCTATGCACCAGTCTTCTACCATCAGAAGCATTGTTCTTCATAATCTTTTAGGTTCTTTTAGTTCATAAATACAATTCTTGGCACATCTGCTGTTTGGTATACAGTGGGGGTGAATTTTATAAGGTTCTACATCTTCTGTTTAGCTTTTTGAAGCAAAATGTGCATCTGCTGTGAGGTCTGTGTGCTCTTCAGGAGAAGCTATTACATGCAGTTATTTACTGCTTCTGTCTAACTAGGTAATCATGCCAGTTAATTCTTCTGAATGTGGTGTAGCTACCACACATTCAAATGTTTATCCCTTCTAGCTTTTTTAGTGGTTTACAGGCATTTCCTGATGGTGCTTTGTTTATAGATAGTTGGTTTTCTGGTTTTAAGTAATCAGTTTACAGCCAGCAAGGTAATGTTAAGTGAGAGGGTTGAAGTTCAAATATAAAAGAAAAAAATGAAAGGTTAAATACATGGGATTTTTTTTTTTTATTTAGAGAATTACACTTTATCTATGAAATCTGCAAAAAAAAAAAGTTGGCCATACCTGAAAAGCTACTGGTAAAAGAGTTTGTACACAATAGTAGTTAAGAGAGGAGAGGTTTGCACTGTGGTTAAATCTCTGCCTGTAACTTGGAAAATTATTTATCTGCATAGGATCTGTTACCTCTTGCATGCTCTTGAATGTGGAAGATTGTCAAGTAAGATTCCTTTTTTGCAAGTTATGTGTGGTGCTTGGACTTCCTTTTAAGACACTTCTGCCCTGCTGAAATTACTGCCTGTGGGCCAGAATTTCATTACTGGTACAACAGTGGTTGTTATTTGAGCTTGTTATGGACGTGTCTGATCTGAAATGCATTGTTTTCTGTGCTGTTGCCAGTACATAACCTACAGGAACAAAAAGACACAGCTTTTATGGTCTACAGACAACTTCTACTGTTGATACATGAAACATGGTAAATGTTACTTGTGGTTTGGAGGATTTCAGTCATTTAGAATACCAAATTAGTTCAGAGTGGAGGTTTGGAGTTTTTTTCCCCACACTAGAGATCCCACCTGTAAATTAGTATTTACAGTTTACATGGGTGTTGTGTCTATGCATTCACTGTCCCCTCAATTCACTGGATTGCCAAGCTAATGCCTAATTCATGGTCAAAACCACACCCTCCCCTTGCCCCTACTTTTCTGGAAACACAGCTTATTCTAAGTACCATATGAAGCTCCAGGATTAACCTTGTTCTCTGGCCATGACACCATTGCTGATGTGGCAGGTACATTTCTGATTGCAGGGTTTGATTTATTTAGTCCTACAGCAATTAAACACCGTTTAAAGCCTAGGAAATACACTAGATCATTGTTGTTGGTCATGTATAAATGAACATTACATTCTTCAAAGACTACCTTAATTTTCTGCATGCTGGAAAAGTTGTGATTAAAAGTGTATCTAAGGCTTTTAGCCATTCAACTGATCAGTATTGTTAATACTTTTAATAATTGTACTTGGCTTAGAGTTGCTATGATGTGGATCTGTTGTTTGAGACTAATGAGAGGCTAACAGTAGAAACTTCAAAATACTCACAGCTTGTGTTCTGCTTGTTTTCTAACAGAAAGAGAACTTAAAAGGAGCTGGTATCACTGATTTAGAGAGTGGCAAACAATTTCCAGAGAATATTCACAGCATGAATGTGTATCTTGGGTGAGTTATTTTAGCAAGGTGTATTTATTATGAACAACTAATTTTAACACATTGAATACAGGAATTTATTTTGCTTTGCAGTTAGAACTACTTAGTAGATGAGGTTCACCTTTGAATTATTCAGGCAACCAGAAAAAAATTTGTTTGTAACTTGTAAGTAAGTTTTAGTTATAACATTGTAAGTTATGACTTCTTAGCAGTACACCATCTGAATTATCAGGTTTTAGTTGAAGCCAAAACAGTGTTAGTTCAATTATAACAATTGCAAAAGTGCTTTTTCATATGCTGAGTATTCTCTTGCAGAATGGAGTAGTTTACTGTGTTGTCACTAGAGGAGTGCAAACAGGGAATTCAAGTACTGGGATGTAGTCAGTGCTGTAGGAGGTTCTGTTATGTTGTGCTGAACTCTGTCAGGCTTTGTACTCTTGAAATTTTGGAAACCAGTTTTTCAGGAAGGTCACTTGTTTTGAAAGATCTCCCTTCCCTCCTTTATGGTGCTTAGGGTCTCCATAAGTCTGTGAATGCAGGTATTCTAGCTACCTCTTTGTGAAACTGCATTTTCATTGTCACCATCCACTTCAGATGAATCAGTGTGAATCAGGTCTAGTAAAGGGAGATGACTGAGAAATGAGACAGTGGTCACATACATCTCTTCCAATTGATGGTCCTGGTGATCCCATTCTTGCACAGTGCTCTTGAAGTTGGACAATATTGTGAGTTCTTAAATCCCATAGGTAATTGACCTGAAAGGTTTAAAATTGGAGGGCTAAGTCACCAGGTTTTGTCCCTGAAGAATGTTCATCTTTATACACTTTATACACACTGAAAATTAAATGCTTAATGAATCTCTGAAAAGCACTCTTTTCTGTAATTTATTATAGAAATGTCCCACTCTGCACTTTATTCAGGAAAGTTTCCTTGGATATTAAGAGAAGTGTTCCAGTTATGTTATTTAGGCACCTGAATTTGATAGTGCCCTGATGACTGCTCTTTAAAATACTCTTGATGTACGTACCTAACGACAAGTTGGTTGTTGAAGTAGATTTTATTGATTTCTTATTCAATTTTTAAGTGTTTTTTTTAACCTGTGTGTGTCAGGGAACCGATGCTTTAAAAGATGAAACTACTTACTGCTGTGTTTTGTCATTTTTAGAGCCAGACCAATAAGCAGAGCTCTAGACCTTGGAGCTGATATTGTTGTGACGGGCAGATGTGTTGACAGCGGGATCGTATTGGGACCACTCATTCATTCTGTAAGTACAAGTTAATTTCCAAATGCTAATGAATAAATGTGAGTGAATATTCAGCAGTCGTCAGCCAATTTTTGTCCCTTATGAAAATGTAGATACTAAATAAAAATAATGAGCATCTGTATTTTTTTCTTACATGCATGAAAAGTGTCAGCTTCCGCTTCTCCTAAATTGATAGCAGGCATATTTGTTAACGTGTATACCATTGAGCTAGAAAGCACAGGTGAAGTTCAGGAAGTCTTAGCCTCTTTCCCCAATATTACCATTTGTTTTGGATTTTTTCCCCTTGCCTTTCTGAAACATTTGGTGTGCAAGTATATTTTTCTTTACCACAAAGTGTCAGTAGTAGAGCTCACTCTGGTTGGGGGGTAGCATGTGAGGTGGTGTAAAACATTGGGGTTTTTTGTTCAGTGGGTAAGCAGTTTTGTTTAAAGTAGTCAAGTTTCAATGCAGCATTTCTGAAAGTCCTTGAAATTCAAAAATTATACTGGCACAGTATGTAGTTTTCTGAAGTATTTTTAATAGGTTTTCATGAATTTTTGTAAAGGATCACACATGGTCAAATATAGAAGCTTTCTTTTGGTGTGTATTTAAAAAAATAGGGTATGTGTTTAGTTATACTTTCTATGACATCATACTCTTTTGACTTCAAACATTGCCTAATTAATTTTCCATTTATAATTTCCATTATGACTTCTTGCTTTATTCCTAATTGTTAACTTTCACAAAATAACAACTGTCAGTGTGTATTACCTGCTCCTGAGAGACCTTATCTAATTTATGTAGGAAGGGTTTTAGGAAGATTTCTGCAAAGTGCTAAATAAGAAACAATTACTGTATTGGTTGCAGGTTGAACTCAGGGAAAAGACTTTAGCTAAAATTTCTAATTAAACAGAAAGCATACTTCCAGTTTTTGAGGGTGAGTGGTAGTATTCCAGGAACTGATAATTTTCAGAAGTTGAAGACACACAGTGGTTTGTCCAGGTGACACAAGGTAGGTACTATACTTTTAAACCTGTAGGTTGTGCACTTTTAAGTAATAAGGGTGTTGCCCTTCCAGTTGTTTTGAAGAGGGTATGACTTTCAGAGTTTACATTTGTTGTGGTGTATCAATAGGAGCAAAACTGGAGCATGTCAGCATGTCAGAAGTTTTTTTTGCTGATTTGCTGTATAGGAACTCAAATCCATGTACAGTGCCTGCCAGTTATTGTTATTTAGATGTAAAATATATCCAATGCATTGTTATTCAAAGCAATGAGCATACTGTGTGCAGTTTTTTGTACTGTATGAAACGTATGTGCATTTAAAATATTTTTGTTTTTCTTCTAGTTTGGCTGGAATAGGGATGACTATGACTTGCTAGCTGCAGGAAGGTAAATGATATAAGAAGAAATGGGGTAAATCTATATTTCATATCATAATGTCAAGGTAGCAGCTTTTTCAGCCTCTACTAATTTTTCATATTATCACTGAATTAATTTATTTGCATGTTGTTGTTAGGTTTTGAGTTTTTTCAATGCTCACTTGCTACTCTCATTTGGAATTGAAATGATAGAAACTTCATTCTGGAACCAGCTTAAAATAAGAAAAGAAAGAAAGGGTTGAAAGATTTTATTTAACAGCTTAACTTTTTCTTGCTGTTCATTTTGTGTTGAGAGATGAAATCTTATACTACAGGCCACTGATTCCCAGGCTTTTCTGTCTGGCTGCCACTGTTGATAATTGGAGTGGTTGCAGGGCTAGCTCTGAAAGATGCACAAAAGCAGGTTTAGTCAGAAGGCAACATCCTGGTATGGTTTTGTTGAAGCTCAGTGTCGTGCTCCCATTTACAAATCCTTGTTGTAGTCCTAAGGTTAGGAATGTGTTTCAGAAAGGAGTAGAATTATGCCTCCTAATTTAATGTTGTGCATAATTTATCTGAATTGAAGTCCTCATTATGAAGACTCGTTATATGAAGTCCTTAGCCTGAGCAAACTCTAGTGTTAGTGTTCTTGAACTTCTGCTTGAGGAAAAATGTGGAGAGAAATTCATTCAGGCTCCACTGAGGGATGATGGAAATGAAGATTTTCCCCATAATTCTGTTAAATATTTATGGACTATCACAATCAAAATTAGAAAATAGTAATACATAATTATAATACACCATAGTGAATACATAATATGCAGAGGTGAAATTTTTTTGTCTCTTCATTTAAAATTGGTCTTTGTTACACACAGTGCAGACTACTAAGATACTGAATTCAGATCAAGATTTGAAATGACTAGGAGAACTTGGTTTTAGGTGCGAGGTAATCTTCTAGGTATTCATTTCATGTAAGAAAATTCTTGCAAAAAATTTGCCCTTTAAACAATGTATTCAGGATCCCTTGTTATGCTTAACGTATAATTCATAATTGTATTAGATACTTGTGGAGGAAAATAGCATGTTTTGTTATTTAGCTCTATTTCCTTTGTATTTTAAAGTTGGATTTGTAAAAATTGATTTTGCATTTTACTTAGTTACTTTAATGCCATTTTCCCAGTCTTGCAGGTCATCTCATTGAATGTGGTGCTCAGTGTACAGGTGGAATATTCACTGATTGGCACACAGTACCAGACTGGTAGGTAAACTTGATACCAGCATGTTTGTAGTGGACCAAAGATGAGGTTTTCTGCCTGTATCTGTGTTGTGAAAACTGCTTCTACCTTTTTCTTTTTGGGGACACAATATGGGCCTCTTGATATTTTGCCACCTCAACATTACTTTTCTACAAGTTCTGTTTTCCCTTTTTAAGTTTTCCTTTTTGGTCAGACAGGGTCTTTCTTTTGTTAACTTCAGCAAATTTTGAAAAACAAATTAGCCCTTTGATTATTTTTTCCCTCTTTAAAACTATTTTTTCCTGTTCCCTTCAGTATCCTCTGCTTTTTGAAAAGATTTATTATTGACTTTCATGTATGATTGTATCAGAAAAGACAATATTGATGTTTTGGATGCTGTTACAATAGTCTTCAGTTAGATGAGAGATGCTTGCTGGTGAGTCAAAAATTTCACATAATTTGCTTTGGTAGGTATGAATATATGCCATAGTTCTGTGCTGCTGAATAACCCAATGAACACAAATGTGTTGGATGGTCAGTCCTTGCAGAAAATTCTGTGTGTGTCTTGTGTTCAGAGCTATTGGATTAGTTATGTGTATGTGTGCTGTTCTGCCTGCTGAGGGAGCCAGCTTTTTGCCAGCCTGTTTTTAAAAGTAGTTGTGGAACACATTTTCTGCTTCTGGCTGCAGTTATTTCTGTATTTATATATTGGGATGAGAGGGAGGAATCTTTTCCTGTGCTGTGTCATGAGAAAGGCAGGATGAAGGGCAGCAGGGAGGTGCAGGAGAGAAGAGTGCTTTAATGCAGTGTGTTCCTGCACTCAGGCTGACTCTGGTCCAGGTGGGTGACCCAGCAGGACTGTGCCCTGCTGTCTGAAGAGCCATAGGGCTCCCTGGATTTTTTCTTCTCCTTGTCTTCTCCTCTGCTTCTGATTCAGAGTGTGATCCTAAAAGATGTATGCTGCTTTTCTGAGTTCCTGAGCGCTGCTGATTAAAGGGGAATGCATGTATGGCATTGAAACAAACAGGATTGGACATTTCTTCTCACCTACTGAAGGCTACTGAGCAAAGTGCACTCACTCTTCACTGTTGTATTCTATGGGAAATCAAAGGAGAGAGTTTATAGTAACAAGTTGGTTTGGAAATTTGTAATTCCTGTTTTGATGTCTTTCGCAGTCATTTAATTGTGCTGCATCATGAAACTTTTTAAAATCTTTTGTAACTGTGATTCCAGAAGACCTTGCTTTATAAAAGAATTAAAGTGAAAAAAGAGAATAGTAATTTTCTTATTAAAATGTTTGCTAGGTCTTTATTTTTAAGGATTTTTCTGTGAAGAGTGTCCATCTGGCTTTTAAAAAGAAAGGAACCTTGAATATATATATTGAAGCTGTTGTGAGCTATTGGAGTGGGAGTAGCTCATTTTCCAGAAGGGTTTAAGTACACGAATATGCATAGCTAATAGTTTTATATCTGTAAAATCACAGAACTTTGTCTAAAATCATAGTAGACTTGTGACAGCTGGCTGGTGCTGAATTGATTCTCTGTTAAAGAACATAGAGGTTTAACACCTGATACTGCTGGTACCGTGTCCCCTTCGATATGTGTACGTACCCTGAAACCATACATGACTGTATTTGTGCTAATATAACAGTTATATATTTACCTTCAGTTTAAGTCTGCTAAAAAGTTGATTATGGTGCCTTAAACTAGTCAGTTTGTTGGCAATTTTTGAGTCTTAGACATGTAATTGATGAAATTCTTGAAATAAAATAATGTGACACATCAGTCTGTATGATAAGCTGCTAAAATCAGTCAAAACCAGAATAATGTATGAGCTTTGATTTTAGGTTTTGAGCTGTAGAGTGGAGATCCACTTCACTAACTGAAGTGGAATTGGGATCCAGCCCATCCACTTTGAATATGGGGAGAAGGAATGCAGGGAGAAGATTATTTGGATAAATTTTGGCTTCCTGATGAATAGTAGTTGTTTATATTTAGGCCCAAAAGCATGGAGGGCAGGTATTATTAACAGTCTTGGGATGTAGAAAAATGTGTTTTCCATTTAAAAGTTTAGTAGTAACCTGTTCTCTCTTGAATTTTACGAAATTTTCTGGCTTGGGGTTTTTCGTTGTTTAGACAGTCTGAATCTGTTTTCAGATAATGCATTCATAATAATGTACAATAATAACAGGGTGTCTCAGTAGTGACCAAAACATCCCATACCTGCAGCCACTAACTAACTCTATTGCAAATAGTTCACCAGAGCTCTGACAGAGTTTGCAGAAGTTACATGACTGTGTCTATTAATGATTTCTCCCTCCTTTAGAAAAAATGACATTTTTAGCAGTCTCCTGGAAATAAGTGAAAATAATTTACATTTCAATAAATCATTGTGTCTGTGGTACCTAATGTTAAATCCAAACCAGCCCAATTAAATTAGTAAATAGGAGGGGGAAGAAGCCAAGTTAAATCTGTGTTTATCATTAATGTGCCTTTCACATAGGGGTTTCCCACTCCATGAGTGTATCTCTGCAGCCCAAGAGCAGAAAACCCATCCCTTGCACTTGTACTGGTGTGTGGAAACTGAACGCTGGAGGGCAGCCTCTCTCCTTCTCACACCTCACTGCGGAGGGTGAGCTTCATTAGCCTCCAACTGGGGTCACTTTTTACGCTGTCCTTGGGGTTTTTTTCTCTCCAAGAACAGTAATCTGTGGGGCTGTTCTGTCTAAGAAGGACTGATGGGTATGTTTTTTTCTAACTTGTAAACAAAACCCAAAGAATTTGCTGCATTTCAGGTTTATAAAGCTTGTCTGTCTATTGTTTATGCATAAGCAGAAATAATTACCTCCGTAAACAAGAGTACTTTGGTTAATCTAAATGAAGCCAGGCAAGTTAGAGCTTACATTCTGTGCATTTGCTATCATGTCTCGGTGAGTATTGAGGCACTGGATTGAATCCACTTCATTCATCCAACCATAGTTGGTGGATTTTTGATGTGGATGGGGGGGTTGTTTGTTTTTAATTTTCTTGAAATGTTTGATGCAGATACTTCTGGGAACTCAATTCCACTGCAAAAGGGTGCTTTGAATCTCAGGAATATTTGTGTGGGCATTTAATGGTTAATTACTAAAACCTAAGCTATTCTTTCATTTCCTTTGTTGTCTCCTTAAAGTAACTTTTTAATGTAAAACAATTGAAGTGCATGTTCCAGCTTGTGACTCTCCAAGTTACTTTAGTTGATGGAAGCTGAACTTATTTGCTTTCTTTGTGTTCACCTAAGACACTGAGATTTGTGCTGTGTGTATCTCCTTAGTGCATCTGGGATATAGGTGGGAATCTTGAAGCTGTAAGGTTTTGTCCAGTTTTCATGAAGACAACAGATAGGTAGAGGGGATAGGTGCTGTTTATTTTTCCAGTGAGAGGGTGGGTGCTTGACTCTTGTGTGGATTCTCTGATGTTTAGCAGAGAAAGTGCAAGAAACCATTAGTTCATAGTCTATAGAAAGAGTAATGTGCATTCCTAAAGTCTGATTTTAAGTTAGTGTTAACAAAAAAGGCACTTAGTCCATTTCTGTTATTTGTATAGTAATACACATCAGCAGAGGGTCAGCAGAAGTGATAATACAGCACTGCTCCCTATTTTATGTCTGTTAGCAGACATTACATTACGTTGTCTGCAGCTTCCAGTGGGGAATTCATGTCGTGTGTGAAAATGAACTGTACTGCTAGAACTACACTGATAATTCACAGATCTCTATTTAATTTCTTTTGTCCCCAGACATTGCTGTCTCTTGCTCTTATTTAGTGCCAGTGGGTGATTAGTACATTGTTTTGTTTTGTTTTGAAATGCAGGAGAGAATAAACTAAGGCTGATCAGTAGATAATCATTTTGAGGAGATGATAAACCCTGACATTTTGCCCTAAGCCAAGAGTACATTGGTTGAGACTGCATAATCCTCTGGCCTGGGATGACCAAAAGGGTAAGTCAATAGCTGTAGACTCTTAAGGGCTGGATCCAGATTTCTTAATTTGAGACTAGAACAAAATCCAGCATGCAAGTCCCATTCAGCAGTGTGGAATGTTTTTTTTTCTGTAGCACCCTCTGTTCCAGGCAGGCGAGAACACCAGGCAGCTGGTCTGTTTAGCCTGAAATTGTCTGGCCATTCGAAATGGAGGTACAAGACATAGAAATGCCCTAGTCAGAGGGGATAAGTGATGCAACCAGCAAGTCTTGCCTCGAGCAGAATTGCATGTTAGGAAACATTTTGGTACCTACACATGAGAAGATGCTTATACCTTTACTTTTTAAGTTTGTACTGATCTTGCCTGATGTAGTAACAGTTTCGAACCTGTTGTCAAAACACTGCTAGAAGTGGTAGGAGCTTCTGGTTTTTGCCTAGTAGCATTCTGGTTAAAATGCATAGCTAAGGAGTTGAGAAGCTTGGCTCAGGGCTCTCCTTGGTGTGACATTCACTGAGTCACGTCCCAGGCAGCTGCATTAGCTGTAGAGCTGAAAGTTCACACCACAGCTTACTTGGATCCTGGTTCACTTCCACTGTGCATTGCTGTGGGGTTTTGTTTGCATTCTTGCAGCAACTTCCCCTGCAAGTAAATGTACTCCCCTCCCTGTCCCATATTCTGTTGCCAGTAATCTCCATTGAGCAGCAGTGGCTAGAATGAGGTACTTGAGGGATTTGACACTTTTGATGGGAGAAATACATGTTCCATCTCAAATGTCTCTCTCCCTGAGCCAAAGTACTGGTCATGGATTTTACTTTGCTTGTAATGCAAATGGTGTAAGAAGTATGGCAAAACAAGGAGGAAGTTTATCTTGATGGCTCCTCAGAGGCTTCTGAGTAGTGTTCCAGAGTAGACAGGGAGGAGATCCTTGCTTAGACAGCTTGATTTATCACCTATGACATGCCCATAAGCTGTAACATTTCTGAGAGCCAAAGCTGAAGAAAAAATAACATTTTACATGGAAAAAATTAATCCAAGAGTAAGTTGTTGGCTGGCAGAGAACTTGACAGAAAACTCAGATTCTTGATTGCTGTAAGAGTAAGTTGATGAGATGGAGGCTTCAGCAGCAAAACCAGTTTTGTAACTTGGTTATTCCTGCGCTGTAGGTCTTCACTGAGACCTGCTTTAACTGTTAACTCCTATCTAGGCCCAGTTTGGAGGGGTTTTCTGAGGTATAATCTTAGCTTGGTCTCATTCAGTGCTCTGGTTTATTAATGTCTATATTATATATACATTCATTTATAATGGATTTACTTGCTAAGTGGCAAACGTGCAACCTGAAATGGACCTTTTGGACTAAACAGTGGTAGTTGTCATCTCCCCTCACAAACTGATGTGTATTTCTTGTGTATATTGACCCTGTGCGGAAAGAACTGCTTAAATATTTTAGAAGTAGTACTTGATATTTATTTCTAGTACTGTATTTTATTAATTTGTATAATTTCATTAAAGTGAATTGTATTAGTTCCCTTTTGGAATTGTTTCCATTGCTTGCTACTGCTTCATCCTGCATAAGGATTTTGTCACTAAACTTATGCAGTTCTTTTACTGATGAAGGATTCCACTTTGCCAAGGTACCTTTGGATGCTGTGACCGTAGTTACTGATAAAGTTCATAGTTCTGTGCTTACTCCCCTGCAACACTATATAAAAGGACAGCTTGGCTGTGGGTTATGGACAGCCTAAAGGTGGCATGTTCCCCACAGAGCAGATGTCATATGGTGTGTAGTCATTCAGCAAAGCCTACAAGTTAATCAGGCAAAGAGTCGCTGTTTCAAGTGGTGATCAGGGTGATGGTGTGACTATACTGCCTGTGGTATACCTGAGCCAGGCAACTACTACTGCTAAAGAGCTTTTTATGCCTTTAAGTAGCTGTCATTTGCCTGTATCTTAGGAGTGACAGACCAGTTTGTTTCCAAGGTGAAAATTAATTTTAAGTAATGTCTTTTAGCAATTTACAAAATAGATTTTTGTCTTAAGTGTGTGTATGTTAATGTGGGTTATCTGCTACAAGATAATACTGGATATTTGTATTTTCCCAGTCATCCAGTTACAATACAGGTAGAATCCAGTTGCTTCTTACCCAGATAATTGCATCTCTGTGTTGTGAACTGTTAAAAAAGTGAGGAAAGCTTTCAAGGCTGGCATAACCTGGGGGAAAAAGCACATCTGCAACTAACTGGCCGTACAGAAAAGTTCATTGGGTGGTGATGTACTGTGAACACCACAGGGGGGAAACAATATCTGCTGTATTTTGATCACATTAGGGGATGAAATTTCTCATTTTGTCTCACTATTACATTTAGGTTTTGTTTTTCAATGGTTTGAGGGTTTTGAAGGTGCAAGTTGGGCAAAATGAAGTTGAATCAATGTTAGTAGACTCAGTAGTTCAGAGTAGGAAGTTGAGTGTCTGCAGTTTAGTTCTTCCTTCAAAACAAAGGTTACTGGAGATCACTGTAAGAGTTGCATGTGCTGATGGCTGAGATTCCAGTGGGCTGCAGCAGGGACACTGGCTGTCAGTGCAGGGACATGGACTGCTCTGGGTGATCTGTCTTCACGTGAATGGTGTCTCTTCTGGGGATCTGATCAAGCTGCATTGAGCCTGCTAGCAGGGCACTGGGTGCTGTTGCATTGAGACAGGGCAGATAGGTGGTAGGGTCAGGCACACAAACATGGAACTGAGAGGATAAAAGCTTCTTAATTCTAGTCTTGTTCAGTCACTGATCCTGCTTTGTTACCCTGGCCAAATCATGATGCTTCCTCTGTGTGTCTCCTTGCATCTAAAATGGGGACAATTACACATTAGTCTGTTCACATATGTTTATGTTCCAGACCAAGAATTGAGGGCTTTTTTGGCTGTTGCTTTTTTCTATGTTGCACTTCAAAATTTTGAGTAGTACATACTTCTGCTACCATCTTTTCTCTCTCCTTATCCCCTCAACCTCCCCTCCCCACTAGAAGAGCCTGTATATGAAATTGTTAATTCCATTCAGTTCTTTGCATTCACCAGGGCAGGCTGGTTTTGTTTCCTATATCTTTTTAGTGTTGTAAATAGTTTCAAAGACCAGTCAAATGGACTGTTACCTTAACTGATTTGATGTGGTGTCCACCAGCTACCATACTTTTCAATTTTGTCTGCTCTAAGTGTTAAAAGTTGCTGATCTCTAGTAACAGATCTTGTGTCTTAATCCTTTCTTTAAAATAATGGAGTTATGTTTGAATATTCTTGATGATAAGGAATCTGCTCAAACTCCCATGAACTTTTACATATGTCCCTTAAGAGTTCACTGGTATTTTTGCTTACTTTCTTTCAGACTTTGTGGATTTATGTTATACAAAATATGTTCATGTAACCTTTGCTGATAACCAATTCAGTTGTATGTTCAGCACATTGTTACCACTACCACCCAAAAATTGAGGGATTAACTGGTTTTAAGTTTGTATGGAAGACCTGAAGGTCATTTGCTTTAACGAGCATGGTAAAGTTCACCACCTTTCATTATTAGGACCTTTTTAGAATGGTTTAGCTTTTGCAAGGGACTGTATCTCCTTAACTCCTCTTTTGGTATTTATTTTATGTTGTGGGACACTTGTACAAATTTCAGCCTTCCGGTGAGAGGGAAGGGAGCCAGGTAGACTTTTCAGAAGAATCTTTGCATTCTTAATTTTAATTCTCAGGTACTTCTGAAAAGTTTGAAGTTCTTAATTTTGCTCAAATTCTCTGTAAAAAAATGAAAGCCTTTTAGCTAGAAAAGCAGATGTCTGGATCTTGTCCACATAATCCTGAAAACTCTACCCTGCTACTGTAATGACCAGTATGTGCCTCCTATTATGAGTTACTTGATCACTTTTTGTATATTTTGCTTGTGAGAATGTGAGGAAGAAGAATATTATAATTTATGAACATGCCTGTAGTTTCACTGCTTTTCTTTTTGCTGTGCCTTGTAATTTTCTGTTAGTTCTGTCTTCTATGTGCTGAAGATCTTTCCTTTCATATGTCTTCCTGTTTTTAATTATTACTTTCCTGTGTATAATTTATTATTAACGTGTGAAGTTATCCTTTGTAGGTGTGATTATTCCTGTTTCCTACTTCTCTTCATCTCTGAGGTTCCCAGCACGGTTTGTTCTCCCTGCTTTGACTGCCTTTTTACAAATCAGAGTGCAAGGTGTATTTAGATGTCTTCACCGTCATGCTGTGTGTGCTGCTGTAGCCAAATGGGGCCAGAATTAACCATGGTTTATTTTACTCTAAATTTACATCTTTAAACATAGTCCTCTAATTCTTTCAGCTTTTTACTTGAACTGTTTCTGTCAGTGTCCTTCTCCATTCCCTTCCCTACACCCATGTTTGCAGGTGGAATCTCCTGTTATATCTGTGTTTCTTTGCCAGACAGTAGACTACATCCTCATATTATTTCAGTTGAACAGTTTGTTCAAGGCTTGTTTATTTTTAGTCTATGTTTCTGTAGAAACAACCAGATAAATTGTAACTCTTGACAGGTTTTACTTGATTGGCCATTACTAAGAAATTTTGGTTTGTTGTTCATATTTCTTTTCACTTTCCCTTCGTATTTATAAGGCTTTTTTCTTAATGTTTTTATATTCTAGGCACAACATAGGCTTTCCCATTGTAGAATGTTCCTCTGAAGGAGACTTTATTCTTTCCAAACCACCAGACACAGGGGGACTGATTTCTTTTGGCACTGTAGCTGAGCAGCTGGTGTATGAGTTGGGCAATCCTCAGCGCTATCTTTTACCAGATGTTACATGTGACTTTTCCCAGGTTTCCATCACTGAAATTCCAGGTTAGTCCTCTTTCATGTAATGATATCTGTGTCAATGAAGTGTGTTATCAAACAAAAGCAGCTACTTTAATTTCCATTTAGTCTCTGCATATTTCTTGTTAAATCAGTTCCTTAGAGTCATGTTGTATTAAACTGATACTTTCAAGGACTTCTTCTAGAAATTCTTTTAGAAATTTTAAATGTAATCTTATTTATCTTGCTGGCTGACTGTTTTATATTTTTGATCACTGCTCCTTTTGCTTTACTTTTTAATGCCTGCCTTGCACCTGTGAAGTCCTTAAGCTATTTATTCAGTGAGAACAACATCAAGACAGCTTCATTATGATTTCAGTGTTGTTTTTAAACTACAGCTAAATTTTTTTTCTCAAAAAAATGTTTTGTACGTGGTTTTACTTAGGACATTTGAAGTGTTGGTAGCAATGAAAGGCTGTGTCTTTCAAAGCACTGCTTGGCAATGGCGTTTTTCTTAGACATTTAGGTGGATCATGGTAGAAGAATGATTAGGTACAGGGTTTCCACCAGAGAATCTTTTTTTAAGAAGTCCATTTGCAATCCTCAAAACACTTAACAGCCAGTAGACTAAAGATAGATATAATGTATGTTCAGAATTTAGCTTCAAAAAGAAAACAAAAAAACCCCAGGCTTAACAGATTCAGAGATCTGTAATTTGAGTAAGGCAGCTTGAAAAAAAATTTATCTACAGTCATCTAGAGTTTGCCTTTTACTGGATTTATATTATATTTTTTTCCTTCTAATGAAACTTACTTGTGACAGAATGCCAGGTGTCTTTCTAAAGCTTAGAACAATCGAAATCTCGAATTAAAAACTTACTGGGATAAAACTGAAAATGTGGTAACATAAAGAATATATTGCTTGAGTAAAAAAGTACATAACATGGTACAGTGAATCTTCAGCTCATGCAACAAACGGCTGTCTGATAAGGCCAGCTTGCTGCTTTTAGCCCCTAGTCTTTCTCTTTTTAAAAAAAGAATCCCTAACCTTCCTATGAACTTTTAGCTTGCAAATGACCTGATATGACATGTTTGAACTTAAAATGAACTTTCACATGAACTTTCAGTTAGTCCTCTTAGAAATATAACAGATGGAAAATGGGCAGATTGCTTAAATATTTTAGTTTGAAGTGCTTTGACACGTACACCAGTAAAAAGAGGCAAGCTATCTAATTTTGCTGTTTATATTGCTGGTTTTATTGTTCTGCTGGATTACTTGCAGGGTTTGAGCTGAGAGGTGCTTGTTTTCTTTTTGTCAATGGATGCTATGCATTTGGTTGTGTGGTATTTGTTTTCTTGTACTATGACTTCACCTGGAACATAAAACTCTTCTATATCTTCACCCTGAATGAAGGGATGCAGTTCTCTATTTAGAGAGTTAAATTAACCTCATGTCAGTCTTGAGAGACAGTGATGATGTTATTTGAGTAAAATTTGTACTAGTGACATTTACTTTTTTTAGATAGGCTCTGATCTGATCTTTTCAGAGTATTTATATAAGGCTTTGAACTGCTTCTTAAATATTTGCAAACACAGATTAATCACAGGTGAACTACACTATAATTCTGGCTCTAAAACATGAGGTGCCAATCCTGCACTGCTGATTTTCAAGGAGTAGCACCTACTGATTTTCTCCAGCTCAAGCTTGAACCTGATGGCATCCCAGCAATTTTCTGCTTTTCTCTTTTTGCATTAATATTCCTAATACTGAACATGGTTGTTGCCCAGGCAAATACATTCAGACTGTTTCTGTTATTGATAAGAAGCTCACATTAAGTTACCCTTCCCTTACTAAGCTCTCAGCCAGTAGCTCTTGCTGGTTTCTCATCTTGCTTTGAATCTTTACCAAGTGAGGGATTGCAGTCCGCTCCAGCCAGCTGCAGTAAATTGTATGCTCTGTGTGTGTGTGTGCAATAACTGGATATTAAGAGGAATGTAACTGTTGAGTCTAATGTCGTAAGGCTGCTTTCTTTGTTAAGTATTTTTAAAGTGCATGAATAAACATTTCAGTCGCCCTCTTAAAAGGCTCATGGCAGACATAAATCCAGTCACCAGTTTGCTCCTGTGTTTTCTAAGGCAGGAAGGACTGTTTTCTGAAAGGTTCTCTCTTCTCTGGCAGTACAGCTATCAATGATTTGCTTTTTAATTAAGTGCATTTGATTAATATGTATCACAAAAGAATGTCTTTAAATTTATATTGAAGAAGCTGAAGTACTGATTTTTAACTACTCTAGGTTTTGATGGTGGAGCAGTGAAAGTTTGTGGAGCAAAAGGATTGCCTCCTTCAACATTTTATAAGGTATTACCTCATTTTTTGATGTGAAAGGTATATTTTGATTTACAAGATATTAAATTTGGAGACACTGCTAAAACTTGGCACTATCCCCATCTTCTCTGCCCCAAGAGTAAAAGAAAGAGTTGGAAAATTTGAAAAGGCAAACCTTACTTTATATGCAAAAACCTGTTACTTTGTTTAAAAAGTGTGTATTTGTATAGATAATGATTGCCAGAGAGCGTTTATAGCCTATCAGTACTGAATTCCATGTAACTTCATAATCCCTTTATCATTAGGTAAATGCCACTTATCTTGATGGCTTCAGAGCTACTGCTGTCTGTCCAGTGGGAGGCCCAAAGGCAGTTCAAAAAGCAAAACGCACTGCAGAAGCTATTCTGCAAAGGTTGGTATTTGAGTCTTGGAAGGGGATCTGGTTTGCTCCTTTTTTTTTTTCCAGATGTGATGAAAATAGAACAGTGACACATGACGGCAACATTACTAACCTTGTAAGAATCCTAGAATATTATAGTTTTCCTGTTGGGATGACATTTCAAGACTTAAGTAACCTTTTCAAGAAACCTGTTTTCAGTATGTAGCTGCACTTCAGTTACTGCACTTCAGTTAGGTTGGACAGAGTGAGAAAAGTGTCAAATACGTTTAAAAATAGGTGGCTGGAGAGAGACCGAATTTAGTGAGGAACAAGCTGTGATTGAGATTAGATTTTATTAGATACCAGAGATAAACTAGTTTTCAGCAGCTTTCACAGAACTTTTTTATTAAAAGCCTTACTGATATGAAATATAGGAAGTTTACTGAGTTTGTGTTTAAAACATGCTTTCTAAAATGTGACCCAGTGATTTTTGTTTTTTTTCTTAGAACAGAGTTACAATTCCAAGACAGAGTAATAAACTTTCAGTTGTATTGTCATGCCAGTATATTTGGGCATGGAGGAATTCCTCTTAAATATAATTCCATATCAGGAATCTCTCAGTGCTTATTCCAGTAGCTCCAGTCTTTCTAGTTAACAGATCTATTTCCTTGTGCCATGTTTTATATAAAGCTTCTTCCCCATCCTGTTGTAGACTCCTGCAGAACAGTCAGAAATCCAAGGTTTACTGTGAACTTGGAGTGATTATTCATGTGCCTGTGTGCAGCACTGTGGTGAAGGAGGAGTTGTCTGACTTCCCTCAAGAGATATGGCAGATAAGAGCAGGCTGATAGGGGCTGTGGAATTGCAAATGCTAAAAGCTCCTGTCCAAGAGCTATTGAGAAAATCCAATTATAAAAAAAACCCATCAGAAAGTGGCAAATACGAAGACTCAGACTCAGAGCCTCTGGAAGGCCATCTTTCTGGAACCTAGATGTTTATTTTAGGAAAAAAGTAGAATGTTGTGTTTTCTATTTCATATTTGCTTTTGGACATTATTTCAGACTGGACTATATGTGTATCTTTGAATGAAACAGATTGTAGTGCTGCTACTGTCTCTGACATCTAGAAAATTAATTCAGCCTGTATACTGTGCTCTCTTGAGTAATCATCAGAGGAAAGCTGAAGTGAGGTACTTGAGGGCTGATTAACTGGTGTGAAAAGTGGCCTCTAGCCCATTAGGTATGCTAGTGGGCTAGTTCTGTGTTTTGAAAATTACAATATACACATTCTGAATCTCAAATGCAGTCTTAAACAGCTTAATATGTGGAATTGTTTATTTGACACAGCAAAAGATTGGTGTATGTCAGCCCAGATAGAGAATAAGAATTAAGCTGTTCTGATCCCTCTCAAAGGATGCTCTGTCAGCAACTATAACTATTTCAGAAACGTTAACATAAGGTTTTTTTCCTGGTTTCTGTTCATAAAATCCTGGAATTGTCAAGGTTGGAAGAGACCTTTAAGATCAGCAAGTCCAACCATCAACTCAGGTCCATCACTATAATCCCTGAATCACATCACCAAGCACCAGATCCAGACATCTCTTAAACACCTGCAGGAGTGGTTACTTCACCACCTCCTTGGGAAACCTACTCCAGTGCCTGACAACTTGAACAGTGGAAACTTTTTTTCTGATACCTAACCTGGATCTCCCCTGTCTCAGCTCAAGGTCATTTCCTCTGCTCCTCTCACTGCAGGCACAGTAGGAGCTGGCCTCGTCCTCAGTACACCCTCCTTTTATGTGTAGCCTTTTTCCAGGCTGAACACCCCCAGCTGCCTCAGCCATTCCTTGCCAGACATGTTTTCCAGACCTTTTACAACCCTTATTGCCCTTCTATGGCTGTGCTCCAGCACCTCAGTGCTCTTTTTAAAGTGAGGGGCCCAAAACTTGGACGCAGGATTTGACGTGAGGCCTCACCAGTGCTGAGTACAGAGGGGCAATCCCTGCCCTGGTCCTGCTGGCCACACTATTGCTGATCCAGGCCAGGATGCCTTTGGCCTTCTTGGCCACCTGGGCACACTCTGGCTTGTGTTCAGCTGCCTGTCAGCCAGCATGTGAGAGTCTCTTTCTGCCAAACAGCTCTCAGGCCACCCTGGCCCAGACTGTGGTGCTGCCTGTGCTTGCTGTGACCCAAGTGCAGGACCCAGCACTTTGCCTGAGTGAACTTCATGCAGTTGTCTTTAGGCCATTGATGGAGCCTGTCTGGGTCTCTGTTTCAGGAGAATGTTCTAATGATGTGATCTTTCAACTACCCACCTTCCAGTCTGTTGTAGTTTAAGTTCTGTCCAGTAGTTGAGTGGCAAAAGGGGCAGAAAAAGGCACACAAGTTTAATGTGTTTCATTTATACAGATCAAATTAGTTGTTAACCTAAGACATTGAACAGCTTTGGCAGCTTGTAAGATGACTTACTTTGCTTCTTTCACGTGTACTTCTCCTTTTACTTGTTTGTTCATTATTGAAAGCAGAAGGGATTTGGCAATATGTGTGTGAAGAAGTCTTTTTGAAATATCTCTGGTGTTCTATTTTCATGATTCTTTGTTGCATTACTAACACATGAAAGGGCTAAAAATGACCCACAGAATGTATTTTCAGCTGTAGTATCTGTAATTGTAATGTTTGTAGATAAATAATTTAAAATAACTTAGTACAGATGCGGTTTGCAAATTCAGTTACCTTAAATGAGATTGTTTTACTTTTCTCATCAGAAATAAAGGTGGACTCATTTATATTGTGTGAACACATTTCCATCTCTTTACAGCAATTAAAAAATTGTATCTTGTATTAATATCCTTTACATTGCTTCATTATTTCAGGTGCTGTGGTTATATTTATGACAACAGTGATAGATTAGCAGTGTGTTCAAAATGTTCCACCAAAGCAAAAAATGTTACTTGTTGCACCAAGCAAAATATATATCCTTAAAAATTCCAATATTTCAACTGGTAAAATCTTTCATACAGCTGTTTGACAGAGTTAACTTCTGTGGTCCACACAGGGCTACTTCAGATAATCATTTTGAGACTGTTTACTAATACAAAAAATCATTTGTTGCAGGACTCGTCTTATTTTCAGTCAGCTTGGGTATGAAGATTACAGTGCAGTTAACATACAGGTTTTAGGGTCTGAAGATACATATGGACCTCATGCTAGAAGGAGTACAGAAGGTGTAAGTATGCAGTGGAGTGTTCTTAAACTTTTACTGACCTCTTTTAATCTTTCCATATTGTTATCTTTTCCACAACTTTAAAGGAAGTCATTATCATCTTGGGAATTTCACCCCTTCATGTTGCAAAGAATTCGCTGTCACTACTTAATGTGGAAAATTAACAGTGACAAGGTCTTTGCAGTATTGGGTCTTCCAGAAGCACTTATAAAAAATCTTACAGAAATATTGTTGTACTTTGTTCTGATGATCTCCTAAAGAAATACCATATTATAATAACTTCTGTGGCATAGACTTAAATTGCATTAGATGTAATGCAAAAAGACCACATTATAAATATTGCATTTAAATTAAAAAGGAAATCTCAGCATTTATGTTGCCTGCCCAACTTCAGAATTTTCTGTGAGTACTAGATATAGTATGAAGAAATAATCTTCAGCTATGTAATTCTGCACTGTGAGTGCATATTTAAGAATATGAATGATGGCCATAGCCACTGCAGCTGTGATATCCATGGTCTGTTTTCCTAATCTAGAGAATGAAAGTCTTTTTTAAAGAAAGAAGATTGTAAATCATGTCCTCACTTAGGCGCAGTTTAAATATTTAGACAGTTTAGTTTGTTCCAAAACAGTAGCATTTAATTCTTCTTTGTCAGTAGCAGCCTTGCAAAACTCTTAAGGTACACGTGGCAAAACTTGGCTCTGAGTTTGTTCTTACTAGTGCTGACATTTTATCCAACAGTTTGTATCTAAAGGAAATGTGAATGTGGTGTAGAGGACAGTGGACTTATTACTAGTGAAATTGAGTGTTCTTAGAAATTGGTCAAGTTATATCTGCAGCTATTCATTTCAGTGCTTGAGTTTCAATTTCCTTCATCAAAGCAGCAAGAGTTGCCTCCTGAAGACTGAGCTTTATAATGTGGTCTCTTTCATTCTAGGACCATAAAACCTGCAATTTTAAGTGTCTTACTAAGAGTGCAGAATCAAAATTTTGAAACAGATTTTCCAGATGTTCGACTTGTCTGTGTTCAGTTTGTACCAACTCCTGATCATTACACCATGTAATGTATTCTTAAATTGAATTGTTGTATAGGAAGTTCTGAACAAAGTGAATAATGAGTTGAAGTAGAGCAGTTTCTCCCTCCTGATTGTTCAGTTTGCCTTGCTTATAGTACATTAAAGAAAGTTTTTCAATGGAAGAGTATTTGTAGTACTTTCTGTGTTTCCAGCCTCAGTTCCCAACTCTTATATTAAAAGTAAACGGAGTGTTATCACCATTGTATGTGCTTCTATCCATGCCTGAAACAGGATGTGAGAGCTAAGGCTGAAATACAAGAAATCAGACTCCATTGCCTTTCATGCCTCCTCCAGCATTTTAGAAGAAACTGGCCAGGGGAGCTTTCATCTGGAAAGCAGCCATGGTAGTTTGAGAAGAAGGACTGGGGAGTGGAGTTGGCTTTTCCATTTAAAATACAAAGTCATAGAATCTCAAGGAGAACATTTACTCATTGGGGCTTCAAGTAGAGATAGTATAGTCACATAAACACTCTTTCTTACAGTGTCCCTCCGTGCAAATTTAGACCTGGTTATTTTGAGTTAGAAATCACAGTACTCAAAACCAGAGCCATACTATGTTAGGCAGTATATTCACACATAAGGAAAATAGTTCCTGCTTTGAAAGTTCTGCTACCTAAATTTGAAGCAAAGAAGCAAATATGTACATGAATACCAAGACAGGGTAAGTTGAACAATACTTGGAGCTCAGTGTTGGTATGTGGTGTGGCTGGACTACTTCGCATGCACATCTGTCATACTGGTGCAGTGGTTAGCCTTTGCAGCTGTGAAATCACTGTGTCTCCCAGCCGTAGGTAAGCCTCTAGTCTGAGCTGCTGTGTGGAGGATTGACTGTTCCTGACAACACAAAATACCCTTGAGAAATAGGAAAGGGTGGCAAGCACTTCTTTTTCTCAGACTTTGCTGCCTGTCACTCTTGATAGCACTTTGTCAGCACCAGCCTAAGCTAGAAAGGGACTTGAATCAGCACTGAGTAATTTTAGTGATACTTGATTTTTAGTATCCTCTGTTCTGTTGGGGAGGAAGGAGTTGTGACAGTGAGTTTGTGGTTTGGAAATCTGGGATATGTTTCATGTAAGCTGTTTTTTAATAGTACATCAGGCATTAGAGTTTGTGGCATAAAAACTGTATATGTTCTGTTAGTTTTCTGCTAACCCTTTGTTAATTGATTTCCATGATATTGTTGAGACTTTGTTTTGCTGGTTTTTTGTTTTAATTCTGATACAGTAAGATTAATTTCTTCAGCCTATATATATATATACCAGTTTTAATACTGAGTTCATCCCCTTCAAAAGGATCCAGCTGATTTTCGTAGACATTTGTATCTTGCCTTTGCAGGCAAGGAGGTAAAATGGAACTTTAAATGGAATCTTGATTATATGGTACAGTTTAGAACCAGAAAGCAGATGTGAATGCATGAGGATGTTTTCTTGCAGGAATGTTTCCAGTTGATTATTATTTGTAGTAATTTAATAAATCTTTTGATAGCTTTAGGAAGACTGAATGTTAAAATTCTGCACTTGTTGGGTTGTATGGCTGTATATTTTTTTGTGTATTGATTCCAATGGTAGATCCTTCAGTGGCTGAAAACAGAATTTTTCGAGAAGTAAAATTTGAAATGAGAGGCAGTGCTCATCTGCAAGGACAGGTGTTTTGACTAGAGTAGGGAGCACATTTGGTTTATCTTTAGATGGAGCATCTGCTCTTCTCTCTGAAAACATGGTGGCTTTTACAAGTTCTGTTCTCACATTTATCTCCCAAGGATTAGGTTTGAATTCTTTTCTGTGGACAGATCTGCTTCCTTCTTGATGCTAAGAGAAGTGAACCTGGCTCTCCAACTTGTCCCCAGAGTACTTTCAATGCTCTTAGAATAAGAGAAACTTTGTTTGCCAGTTCCACTGACAGTGAAGCCAAGTATTTGGTATTGTTAGTTACAGTACTTGATTCTTGGAGAATGCTGGAGAACAGGCATGGTGCCCTAGTGACTTGAAATACCCAATAGTTGATTCCATGGTATTCCAAAATAAAGATATTGAAAAGCTGGCAGCAAATGATAGTGATGGTGGATAAAAAGTCACTGAATGATTTAACTCAAATACTGAGCTACAGTTATTTTTCAGTTTTGTAAATTTAACCAATGTTCTGCATCTAAGGTAATCTAATTTCAACCTTTTTGAAGCAGGGACCTCGGGAAGCTGTTATTTGGCTTGCTGTACACCATAAACAAAGAGAAGCTGTAGAAATCTTCTCCAAAGAGATTGCACCAGCTGGAACTGGCATGGGTAATTATTCATATAATCTAAGAATTTTCAAGTTATTTTTTCTTTTTATTCTCTGAGCATGACTAGCACCCAAAAACTTGGTCATATTAGGCTTTCTTATGTTGTTCATAGTGAAATAGTAATTTTTAAAAGTGTATAAGCTTGGTGTAGAACTGCAACAGACATTAGCAGAATGATAAAATGAAAGTTCTTGAAGTTCACCTTTATATTCCTTTTAGATTCTTTATTCTTCCTGTGCTGCTACTGTTCCATCCTATTTTTTTCCTTTTCCTTATCCATCTGTTTTCCTACATGTGGCTGCACTGATGTGCAACAGTGATTTACTTTTTTTACCATGATCCTACAACTTAGTAATGCTATTAGACTTTGCTGAGTGTTACTCAACTGGCAAAGATATACTGTGTCCAGCTATAACACTGCAGTTTAGGAAGAGATGTGCAGTTTGAGAGTTCTGAAGGTTCTCTTCATACTTCATTATCTTGTGTTGCTACAAAGGATTTTTATTGATGCTACTGTACTTTCAGCTGTTTAATGTATAACTGCTTGTGTAAGTAATAACAAGATTCAGGTATAATTTAAAAAATGTAATACTGCAGTGATGGTGCTGACAATCTGCGTCTTAATTCCCATTACGTATTAAATACCCAACTTGACTCATCCTGCAGTATGAAGTCTAACCTCAAATTATTCTGTCCTCAGAATTTGATTTTGTGACATATTGCAAGATTTCTTTTTGAATTGATGTGTGAGGTAAAATCTAACCACTAGAATTTGATTAAGTCCATCTTAATTTTGAGGGTATATTTTTAAGTATTTGCTTGAAGGTCATGTAATGTGAAATGATCTGTGCTTCTATCACTTGCCAAATGTTTGTTCCAAAAAAAGGCACATTTTTTTTTGTAAATGTCATTGGTTTCTCTAAATTTTCTGAGGTGACCTATTGTGTGATTATTTTGAGCAAATTTTTTTCTTTTTTACTCCCAAGTCCTTAGGTGTCACCACTATAACTATCTGAGTTCTAAGCTCTTTCATGTATTTTGTGCATAAATCATGACTACTCATCCCACTTCTATTATCCATTCTAAATGAATTTAAATTTTGACAGCCTAATTTGAGGACCAAAGTTTAGATATTTTGCAGTGGCTTCTGCATATCTTAATAAAGACTATATCTAGGATTTACATAGATCTTCAAAATTAAATTCCATGGGCTTCACCTGAAACTCTGAAGTTCCATAGCAAATCTAAAATACTGATTAATGGAGGAATAGTTAAGTGTTGCCTTGCAATTAAATTTTTTGGCAGTTGGTTAAAAAAAGTGCGGAAGTGTGCACATTGTCACATTCTGTGTTTATAGTCTTTACAATATTTGCAGAGAACAGTTTAATGCAGGTTGGAGTTTTCTTTAAAGCTGTATTTATAGAGACAAGGTTAGCACATGGTGGTCCTTTTTACTTTTTTTTTGTGTCTACAATAAAGAGATGATCATGTAGAATTAACTGTAAATACTCATTAAGATAATAGTTTAAAATGTTGCAGTTCTGAAGGCTGATCAGCAGGTCAGCATTTACCATAGATGTAAATTGCTTATAAAGACTTGGAGTTTTCCTTATGAATAAAGGACAGTATTTTCAGTTGGACCAAACTATCATTTCTGTAACTAGTTAGGAAATCATAACTGAAGTAGTTTCTCCTTTTTCATAGTGATTTCTCCATAGCAGACCAAGAAAGTAAGAGTATATTCTTATTATTTATTCTATGCATGCATAGACAGTGCCCTAGAAAACATCCTTTTGAATTAAAGAAAGCTGTGTGGATTTTAAAATCATTGCTTTTCTGTAAGGTCCAGAACTAGTGGACCTGTACTTGTCCATTCTTAATCTGTGCTTCTTTTGTAAAACAATTGCTGTGTATTTAAACCTTGTTTGAAGTCTGAAAGTGTTGGTTTTATTAAGGGTTTGATTTTTTCCTTTTACCACTGATCTTTCTGGAATGAAAAAGTGAAAAATCTGCCTGCGTGGGTTGGGTGAAATACGCAGAATTGAAATTGAGTTACTGTAACATGTGAACATCTGTGCCTTGAGGTGACTGGCAAACTTTCCGTTCTTATTATCAGGGTTTCAGTGATGAAACAAATGCATTCCTACGTGGAATAGGTTAGGCAGTCTGTGTGGACGATGGTTGGGGTGCTGAGTTTGTTTCCAAAAGGAACAGTTTAAGCTTTCTAGAACATCCTGTAGAAGTTTTTCTCAGAAAAAAAAATCTGTTTCAATTCTTAGAGCTGCTGCTAATGAACAGCAGTGGGAAAGAGGCTATTTCTGGAATCATCCGAGGCATCTGGTGATAAATAGCACTTTTCCTTGCCAGGTACAGGACTGCAGAAAGGGTTTTGGCCTCCATGACAAAAATTACTACTGTCAAAGGCTATCAGGGCTGTTTACTGACATGCTTCCAAGTGCATAGTCATTCTTTTTTTTTAATTTGTGGAAGATATACTGGAACTGCTTCATACAGTCACTTGTTTCAGTTGCTGTTGTGTGGTAAATTTCGGTATTACCTGTGCCCATGAACTCTTACGTAAGCAGAGAAGGGTCAGATTTGGGATCTGAATGCTTAGTAAGCTACTTATGTTGGTGTGGAGTATGTTTAAAGCTGTGATTAAGAAGAATGTTTTTAATTTTCTTTCTTCAGTGAGATTTAGAATTTTGCAGCACTGCCAAACAGTAATTAGTGGTGTACTAATAACTGCATCAGCTTAACGACGCTTAATTTCTGACAGAAGTGTGGAATTCCAGACCTTGCTGTGAAGAGCAGAACAAAGAATACTTGATGCTTAATTGTCTTAAACTGGGCAGGTCCACAGACAAGACTTGTAGGGATGGGTGAGTGATCTTGGCAACAGAAGCCAGAACTAAGACTGTTGAGATTGTTGTTGTTGTCCTAGGTGAATTCTCCAGTAACAGCACCTGGTGTTCATTTCCCTTCCCCTTTTCCCTGAGCTTCTTCCCTCCCTTCTATTTGACTAGGACATTTTTGGAAATTATTACAATTCTCTGGAGTGTCACAGCTTCAGGGAGGGGCAGAGCATGCCCCATGGCAGTATGGTCACCCTCATGAGAGGGTCAGATTGTCCACAGAGACAGAGCCCAGAACTTGAGCCTTGCATGCCCTGTGCAAGTGCTCTGGGCAGTGAGCACCTGAGGTCCCATTCTGTACAGTGCTGCACCACTTTTTCTCACTGGACATTGAATAAAAATAGCTGTGGCTGCTGTCTCTTACATGGATAGAGCATGTCTGCCAAATGTGGCCTTGTGCTTTGCGCATGGATCTGTGTGATGTAACTGCAGGTGGCTTTGTTCTGCCAAAATGGTGGCAGCTCTGGGGATACACACCGAGTGAGGTTTTAAGCATGAGTGGCTTTTCCATATGAAAATCCTTTAAACAGTGAAGTCCTGTGTTTCAAAGGTGGCCAGCTTGGTCATCCACCTCCCAACTCTCCCATGTTAGTTCACTTCCAGGAGGTGAGATAGTGACTATGAGAGTCATTGCAAATAACCCTTCTTTCTTTTTCTGCATATCCTTTTAATGAAGTATTGGAATTAAAGTAGAACAGAGGAAAAGCAGAAACAAATTGCCAATCTTTTATAATGGACACCAGGGAGGAAGGAGAAGTTGATGACTTGTAAAGTGATGTCACCTGAACTGAAACACTTTGTTCCATTACTTTTGGACATTTAAGAGTGATCTTTAAAAAACAAAGTACACTTTTAGATCTGTACTGGAAAAAAAGGAAATATTTTCTCTTCTGCTTGGAGTGTTTATAGTGGTTGAGGAGTACTGTTTCTAACTATATTCTTCTTTCCCAAGAGTAGCAGTTTGGTGCTTCTCACTCTGAAGCGCTGTGTAGGCGGTTGTACAGATAATAATCTTCCTTTGTAGCACCTTTCATCCAAGAACCTTTAGCAAGCTGTGTGAAGATGATCAGCTAAGCTTTCTAATATCTTAGTAGCATTGGAAAGTATTCTGTCTGCTTTATAGATGGTTTCCTGAGATAGTGAAAGAAAGCATAAGCACAGAAGAATGTGAATCAAGAGTCCTTGGTTCTGCTTTCCCCGTAAGAAATGCTGAAGAGCAACTCCACCAGTATTTAAGGGGATCAAAATTTAAGTTTAAGAATGGGGAGCAGAGGAGAAGAGAGATTGAGAAAAGAGATTTGATGGTTCAGAATAAGTGTGGAGAGTCACAAGAGCTCCTGCTGCATCTTTTGTAGTGAAATCCAGAAGCACTGTCACTTCTGGTGTTTCATCAGGTGATTTAAGCCTGCTAGTCACTACTTGTGGAGTTGTCAGCTGGAGTTGATTGGTAGTTTTATTTTGGCACTATCTTAATGTGAAAATTACAATTTATATGTAAAATAGGTGTGGATTTCTTTAATAATCAGTCCTAAAAGCCTACTTTTGGTGTTTTTCACTTAGGCTGAATTTAAATAACTTGAGTAAAAATGTTTTACCTATTTGCTTGATAAACTTTGGAGGGAGTTTTCAGTTGTGGCTTTTCAGATTTTGCAGGGAACAACAGTAAAATTAAAATAACTTCTTTTCCTTCCTGTAATTAACAATCACATCATAATAATTTTGTTGAGGAGTGATCTTCAGAATGCTTCACTTCAGAGACTTAAAACTGGATGTTAGGTCTTGAGTATCAGATGTGCTTTTTTGTAAATTTAGTCTTAATGTCAGTATTTAATAACTTCTGACTTACTTGGCAGCATATGACTTTTGGATATGATGTAATTTTTGGAAATTGGTATATGTCAGGGATAATAAAACTCAGGTCTCATAAAAGGAGAGCATTGCATAGCTTATGACCAATTTAAGAGTGCTTAAATTGTGATTCCTCCCCTCTCCCCTCCACACTAGTAGAACCATCTAAAGGCATTGTGCCGATGTGAAATTCCCAATTTCTTGTAAAATTGCATCCTCTGCATAAAAAGGAATGCTG